ATATTTAGCGCATCACATGACTTCCGTAGTAAGTTCGTTCTAATTGGTCAATATTAGCCGGGTAATTGATAGGTCCAGAATTTACTATCTCACAATATAAATAAAGGGAAATTGACTGTAAGTTAAGGGTAAGCTGTGTGTCAAACAATAGAATCAACTGTAAGTCAGCAGGTAGGCTGTATGTTGAGCTTTAAATAACCTATTAGTTAGGAAACTCAGATTGCATGCTTGCACTATCAAAAAATATTATTTATTTTCAAGAAGTGAATTTAAATTACTTTACAGGATCATTTTGTGATCAAGAGGAGATGTTGGAGAAGATGAAAATATTTAAAGGAAAGTTCACCTTACAAAGTATTTTTTTTTTGTGAAGAAAAATATAAATGTTTGCAGCAAACATTATTCAAATATTATGCATGGTCACAGATACAATTTCTCCCTGTGATAATTGTGGTAATTGTTAATGTAAATCCTAATTTGAGTAATGTAACTACATATGCAATTAGAATGATTAATATTGTAAGAAAGATAACTGAAGGGCTTGAAGGAGATAATATAATTTTTCATGATGATATAATTGAAATTTTTCTACAATTGAAAAATAAAAAACTAATTGATAAAAAATTGAATTCAGTTTCAATTTATGATGAAATTTTAATAGAATAATTAGAAATTCAAACAAATCACTTGATGAATTAATAAATAATAAAAAAAAATAATAGAGTCACATTGCAAAAATCTGGTGCTGGATTTTGGATAACAAATTCTAAAATAATAGATGTTGCTGAAGAATTAGTCTATTCTTATTCTTGGGATATTATTTGTAAAAATGGCTGGTTATTTAGATAAAAGTATAATTATATATATACACATTTGTTTTTTTTTTTTAAATAAGGGCTCATAATTTTATTAGAATAAAGTAAGTAAAATAATTCACAAAATTATATGAGGTTATAAAGCTCTGAACAAATCAATGAAATTCAAACCAATTTGACCTAATTTTTGATTTGAATCAGTTCAAACTGATTTGAATATATAATTTTGATTCAAACTTGATTTGAACTGATTTGAATATACAATTTGATTCAAACTGATTCAAATCTATAGCAATCATTATCATTCATTACAGCATTAGTTATATTTATTACTTAGATTTAATGAATTGTGCACCTGTAAATTTTATTACTTATAATATCATTATTATTTAGTGATGGTGGTCAAAACTACCTTACTAGACTAGTGGACCAAAATTGCCAAAATTAATTGGCCTAAACTTGGACAAAACTAATTTAATAATAGCTCAAATTGGATGAAATCATTTTTAAGTCTTGTTTATTATAAAAATATTGGGCTACCATGGTATTGGGAAAAACTACCTTTTGTGTAATATAAATTTAATATGATGTTTAAAAAAAATTTTTAGGAATCCGGTTTGATTCAAATTGAATTGAATCAAGTCATGAATCAAATTGAACCAAATCCGAATTGGATCAATTCATTCAGAGCCTTAGCTAAAATGTCACAATATACTCTTTAGTCAGTCTTTAACAAATGAAGTATTTGTTGATGATCATTTCATGAGGCCATTGACAAAAGAAAAAGTATTAATGATTAATTTATTTTTATTTTGGAATAGGAACAGCACTAATCATATAAAATTCACATGATTTTTAAAAGCAATAATTTTTTATTTTTTTCTTAATTCATATTTTTTAAAACTTTTAGAGCAATAATAGACACAATTTTTTTATCAACCAAGATCTCGTCATGACTATCTCCAAATTTGATTTCTTTCATTATTTTGCCTAAATTTGTTGAATTACCTGTTAAGTTGTTGTCTTTGATGAATTTGATGATATTTGATTCAATTTCTTCTTCAGATAATTTCTTTTTTGGCAAATAGGATTCTAAAATTTCTAATTCAATTTGTTCTTTGCGAACTAAGTCCAGTCTTTGTGCTTGTGAAAACTTTTCTATAGATTCATTATGTGTTTTAACAGATTTGTTTATAATTTTATAGATTTGTTGATTTGTAGGTGGTGATGTTGTTAATGAAGAAGGTTGTGACACTTTTTTTGAAACGTAAGTAAGATCTGAAAGAATTGACTTTATTAAATGAATGGAAGGTGAAAAATGAGTCAGAAAAAAAATGATGAAATTTATGAAATATGGACAGATAGAAATGATTGTTAATTCCACTTCACATTTACCTTGACAACATTTAATTTTAATTGATCTTTATTCTTCATAGCAGATTTAATGTCTGATCTTAAACGTAAATACAATTCAAGATCTTTGTTTTGTTCTACATATTTTTTTTGAATTTTTGAGAAAAAAAATTAAATTATAATAAATGAATAATTTCAATTAAATAATACCTTGTGAATTATTAGTATTCATAGAATAGCACTTCAAAAAATCATTATTTGTTGTTGATATAAATGAACTATCATTAAATTGTTTTATTTGTTGACATTTTGTTATTTTATATCCAATTTTTTCTATATATTTTTTCTTAAAAATTGAACTGGATAAATACATAATTATGTATAATTTGGTTAAAAAAAAAACTTTTTTTGCAAGTCATATGATTTAGATGTGTGATTATCATATTTGAAAAAAGTTTTTTTTTCATCATGCAAAGATTTATAATATCTAAATTTGATAAAAATTTAGGTAATTACTAATTTTTTAAAAATATGTATATGTATATAAACATATTGTACCAACAACATTCAACATTTATTTAACAAAATCTTTTATTAAATAGACAAATTTATTATAATAAATAATAATAAAAATACAATTTTAAATTTTAAAAGGCATCTTGCTACTGAATGGAATTATTTATTTCAAGATGTCCTAAACTCTGTTGACAATAAAAACCAAGAACATGAAATAAACAAAGTTGAAAATAAGAATATTGGTGGTAGTTTCTTAGAGAATCAATTTGATGACTCGATGGGTATTGATTTAAAATATAAAAAGAACACACAATTACCAACACAAAGAAAAAAAGCAATTAAAGAATCAGAACGTCAAAAGGCAAACAATGTTTATAATATTTCTAAAACTCTTTTTGGTTCCACTGCAGATGATAAAATGTTTAATTCCATTGAAACTTTGGAAAGAAACTTATTACATATGAAACAAATTGCAGAAGATACTTATATTATTAAAAAACCTGATAAAAAACTTTTAGAATGCATCATACACACTATTTCCTCTAATAAGTCACCAAATAATAAGGAATCTGAAAAAAATGCAGATTTGCTTTTACAGGAGATGGATGGATGTCATACAGTTCAGGAATTTATAAAATTCTTGGGAGCTAAACTTTTTAATTCATCAATTTTATCTAATTTTTCAAAAAATCATGTCTCAAATGAATTATATAAACAATTTCCAAGTAATTATTCTTTGTTGATAAAAGAAGCAATTTGTAAAAGTCATTTAAAGTTTAATGATCCTTATTTGGCATTATCAGTATTTGAACAATCAAAACGGTGTGGTATTGTATCATACATAATGGGTTGTAATGTTGATGTTTACAATGAATTATTGAGAATTAGATGGAAATATTGGAATGATTTAGTTGGTATTAAACGTTTATTAGATGAAATGAAATCTAATGGCATTTATGATAATGAAGAAACGAATGAACTTATTAACAAAATTCATTCTGAATCTTCAAAAATAAGTCAATTAGACAACAAGTTGGATTATGAATATTCTAGAAAAATCAAAAAGTTTGAATCAGAAAAGAAATTTAAAAAAATTTACAATATGTAGTAATAACTTAAATGAATTTGTGCCATTATTCCTGATAAATAAATGTTATGTTATATAATAGTTAAGGATTGGAAGGAAGTATTATTTTTTTGATTGATTGATTGATTGAACAAAATATTTACAACTAAATGCCCCACCTGAACTATATACTATATTATCAGTATATCTAGAGGATTATTTGCAGTATTATTATAATCTTATGTTGAATGACTACATGACATGATTGTTTACCTTGAAGGAGATTTTAATAATGATTTTTTGTGGTAGTGAAACAATAGGCGTAGGGGTTGCTCACCTTTGGTTTAATCATTGAACAAAAAATTATAGGACTCAATTGCTTGAGGATCTTGAGCCTCTGTTATATTCACTTGTTATATATAGTATTACTTTTTATTACTATTTAATCCTTTCCTTGAACATGAATACTCTTTGCCTTGAAATTGTAAATAAATAAATTTGATAAATTGCATCATCTGAGTAATAATAATACCATTATAAGACTATTCAGAAATGAAACTTTTAAGGAACCAACTTTGAAAAGGCCTCATATGTGAGAAAATTTGATCAGTATATTGCAAGTGTGCAATTAAAGCTCTGAACAGTTTGCTTTGGTTTGGTTTACAATCCAAAATTTTAAAGACCAAATTAATATGGAGCATACTGCAACAAAACCAGACAAAGTGAACATTTGCACTACTAAGTATTTCGAGGATCAAAATTCAGTCATTTGTAATGTGATCATAATCAACAGTTTTATAATGTCCCATTTGTTAAGTGATATATAGAAATACTCCTATATAAAAATAGTTAATCTGAAACTCTCCAAGGACATATAATTGGTCCTCTGAGTTCGGAACACTGAATTCTGTTAGTTTATCAACAACATATTTTGATGCATAACATAGATTGTAAATGTTCTTTCTAAGGTAATGAAAGAAAAGGTCAACAATAACTTGCTTTAATATATGTGATATTAAATCCATGTCACTTACAATATACAATGATTCTGTAAGGTTTCAAGGAAGTGAGTTGTTGCTCTTTTTCTCCATGTTGTAAGTGATGTTGGCATTGGTAAAATATAGATATCTACATGTATTTAAAAATTTTCTCTGTCTCTTCATTTAGTTTTGCAATGTCAACATAAATAGCACTTCCAACAACTTCTAAGAAACCAATCTCAAAAGATAATTGCATTAACATTGATTGTAACAATCAATTTGGATTCTTTGTTTGTATTGCAGAGTTTTGTTTTGTTGATTTTTGCTTAATTTGTTTTCAATTTCTCCTCTATGCAAAGAAAAAACCCTGATAGACAGAAGACTTAATAAAAGGAAATTTTTTCAACAAGAATGAATCTCAACCTCATGTCTCCACCCGAATTAGGTCCATGATATCATCAAAACTTTGCAATTATTGGATTGATGAAATCTTCACGGTAAGAAAGTTCTGTTTGTTCATGATCCAATAACAAGTTAATAGGTGATCTGAAAAGAAATAAATTAAAAAACACAATGTAAAATAAAAATAATAATGAATGCTTACAATCGTTTATAAATGTCTTGGATACATAATAGATCAAAGTATTCTTTATGTACAAAAATGCTTGTATATAGTGCCACAAGAATATCCTTGATGGCATCATCCAATGAAATTGTGTCAAATGCCGATTTGTTTTCAAAATGGGCTTGATACTTTTTTAAAGGAGGCATAAATCTTTTTTCCATTAATTTAGACAGATTTTTTTTATTTCACATGAAGACTCAAACTATGAGAAATTAAATAAAGCTGTTAAAAATTTTGGATGGAGGCTAAAATTACAACAAAAAAAATATTTGATAATTCCAGATCTTCTTTAAGAGGCTCTTTTCAGATTCTGTTAACTTATTAACAGGGTCTGAGGCATCTCATGCTGAAAGATTTACAACCCTATACTTAAAGCAGGGTTGGCAAATGTGTGGTCCATTAGGTCCATTAGTGTAACACTTTAACCATATTTAGTATTTTATTAATGGCAATGAACCAGTCAATTTGCCAAACCTGACTTAAATAGAGGACATTTGATACATTGTATCTTGCTACAAGCTTCTTCCATCACATTCTGCGAATTTGAAAATATGACATAATCAGAGATCAGGTGAGATAAACTGCAACTTAAAGTTATGCAAGGTTCATTACCTCATGAGATTGTTGGATGTTTTTGTGTAAGCATCTTTGTTATCAACATTTTCCATAATAACTTCTTCGTGATCAGGAATGGAATAATGATCCATCAAATTTTGTTCCTGTTATTATTTGTGTTATGTATACATCAGAAAGTGTTATAAAAAAATATCATTGTGACCTGAATATTTCATAAATACAATTGCCTTTTGGTGTTCAGGAGTTCTTTGGAAATAGTCATTGATCCTAGTCCGTTTTTGGACTTTATCATTAAAATTGCAGTTAATTAGAAACACAAAATAGTTTTAGTTAAAAAAACTATGTGTCTTTACTTTTTCTTGGTTAGTTCTCTTTGGCATAAATGCTACATTGAACACTCCACCATTTATGCTTCCATTTTATTATTAATTTCATCATTGATTGTTGCCATACTTAGAGTTCAATGATCAATATAAACCCACATACATGAACATGTCTTTTCCCATTCTCTGGCCTTTTTTATCTGATTTGTCACCCTAAAACAATAATTTCTAGTATTCTTGAATATCATGCTTTCATCTAACTTTCATTTCAACATCAGACAATCCCAGAGATCATCTGGTCTGACAGTGTCAGTAGTCCCAGAGACTTTTAAACATCAGGCAATCCTAGTGCCCCAACACTGTCTTTGTGGCTCAACCCAGAGTCTTGAATGATAGTTATCCCAGAGATCCCTACCATGCCACTCATTCATTAAAAACTTTCCAACTTTCCTGTTTGTAATTGTCAAGTAATCCCCAAGCCCTTGTGCATCTTTGACCTTCATCTGTATCTGCAACCTTTTCAAGGCATATAAGGTATTTTTATATTCTCCTAGAATAAGGTTCCAAGGAGAGATGGTTTTGGAGATTTTAATAATCACATTACTGAAATCCTTGGTACAGTACAGATCATCTATAATCATCAATTGCTTATATATAGTAACAATTGGTCAACTTCAAAATACTAAAACAAAAAAAAAATTAACCAATAAGTTTTATTGTTCATGACTCAAGCTGAAAATTGGCTGAGCCTTAGCATTTTGAAATTCCGAATTTTGTTATACACTTAAGAAATTGAGACTAAGTAAATTTCGTGTAACAACTTTTTTTTCATAGAATATTTTCTACAACATACATTTGATTTATTTGATTTATTTATTTCCTTTTTTTATTAATAAATAAAAGTTCTTTACAACAAAAAAGTTTAACGAACATATTACATTAAAAGAAAATCATTACCAAATTTGGTCGTGAGATTCAAAATAGTGTGACACGAAAATTATTGTTGCACTTCTGAGCATAACTTTCAAATTTAAAAAATCTATGAAAAAGAAAATTTGAGACAAATTTTTTTTTAGATTAATAGACTCCATTTTTAAAGCTGAATTGAATGGTGGTGAGTTTTTTAAAATCCAATGTGTGGATCACATAATATTTCAAAATTTTAACTTTCGAGTATAGATGATCCGCACTGTATAATAATTTTACATGCACAAATTTAGAAACTATCTCCCAGAAATTCAAAATTTGATTGGATAATACTGTTACACGGGACGATTGCGCGGATTGAAATTTCAACACTGATTTATTATTATGATTTTAATCCTACTCCATACTCAATAATTACATAAAAAAAACTTCCTGATGTCATTGTTAAGACCATTAATCAAAAATAACAATAACAATTTTTTCACAAAGGTAGTGATTGATGTAAGCGGTAAGGTAATTTTTGATTATTTGTCAAATTAACGTTTCACTATATGATTATTGTTGTTATTATTGACAAAAATTAATTTGTTACTGTAGATGATAATGCAACTTTACCTTTTAAACAAGCAATCTTTTTAGAAGAAGAAGATTTGAATGTAATGTCTTTTTTTTATTATATATATGTATCTGTTTCAAAGCAATTAACTGTCATACCTTCTATTTGCTTTAGCTTTTTTTAGTAGGATATCGCTTTCATAGATATCGTTTTTATATTTATTGTCTTCTATGCATTTTGACTTGTGGTGGTTTCTACCTTCTTGGTAGATGGATTCCAAAACTGTGGTTATTGTTGGTTGGTGATGCTTGTGAATTGGGAAAAGCTGAATTGATAGCAGTAAAGGTTTTTATAAATTTCATTTACTTGACTTGAATTTTTTGAAATATATATTTAATGTCTTATAAGCTTGTTAATTTATAGGATCAATGTGATGAGATTTCTATTGAACATGTTGTTAAAAAATATTATGGCGATACAATATCCTCGGCTTTCTCGCCTGATCAATTTGATGAAGTTGATACTACCAGACTATCTACTTATTCATCAGATGAAATTCTACATTACATACATTATTTTGATTATCGACATATTCGATTCATTTATCACCCTAAATTGGAAAAGTTCCTACAAAATAGGTATGTGAATAGCTTAAGGCTGATATTCTATTACAAATTGATTTTAATATTTACACGATTGAAAATTATTTAATATTCAGTTATTGGAAAGATCCTTCATGGGTATCCACCAAATTACTTAAAAATGGAATAACTCGTGACACTCATAATGCTCGTGAAATTATATTTGGTTCAAATTTGATAGATATTCAAGAAAAGTCTGTTTATAAACTATTGTTGGATGAGGTTAAAATAATTAAATTTTCCAAATAAATTTATGTCAAAACTATTGTTTTTTAATATTCAAATAATATTTATTATTGATTTCCTAGGTTCTAAATCCATTTTACATATTTCAAGCCTTTTCGATGCTTCTTTGGTTTTGTGACCAATATTACTATTATGCCACTTGTATCTTTATTATATCAGCAATTAGTATCATTTCAACGTTAATAGAAACAAAACAGGTATATAAATTCAATTACGTTATATTACATGTCATTTGTTAACAATAATCTTTATATTTAAAATTAATTAATAAATTACTTTTATTAATGTTAATAGACTATTGCAAGACTTCGTGAAATGTCAAAATTTGTGTGTGGTGTCCGAATTTATAGAGGGGGGCTATGTATGTAAAATTATTTTGTGTTTTCGCATTTCATATCTTTAATTATTAAAAAAGTTTTTTTTTGTAGGGAGACACGTATCTTCAGAAAATTTAGTGCCTGGTGATGTATTTGAAATTTCAGACCCGAAACTTTATGTTTTCCCTTGTGACGCAGTTTTATTAAGTGGGGATTGTATTGTGAATGAAAGCATGCTTACTGGTATTATAAACATTTCAATTTTAATTTAATTTGAAGATTTTGTAACCATATAGTAATTATTGAATTGTCATCAGGCGAGTCAATCCCTGTATCAAAATTGCCTATAACAGATGCTGCATTAAGATTATTGGATTTGTCATCTGCTAATGTCATACCTGAGGTTGCCAAACATTTTCTTTTTGCAGGAACAAAAATCGTTCGTGTCCGAAAGCAGAAAATTGGTGTAAATTCTTCAGGAAGCGATAGTAACTTTATGATAGATGATGAGAGTGCGGCATTGGCTATGGTTGTAAGAACTGGTATATAATTTATTTTATCCATTTTCAAATTTGTTAAAAGACATATTATCAATTATTTTGATTTTTGATTTTTGACTTTAGGTTTCAATACAACTAAGGGATCTTTGATTCGATCGATTTTATTTCCTAAGCCAAACAGTTTTAAATTTTATCGTGATTCCTTCAAGTTTATAGGAATATTGTCTGCTATTGGTAAAATGTTTTATATAAAAAAGAATTTTCTATATTTAATATATATATATACACACACACACACACACACACACATATATACTAATATTGTAAATCCATCACTTAAATAAAATTTTTTTTTCAAAAGCTTCCATTGGGTTTATAATAAGCACTATTAATTTTATTAGGATGAGAGTTAAAGTATCTTTGATCATATTGAGGGCACTTGATTTAATCACTGTTGTGGTTCCTCCAGCATTACCAACTACAATGAGTATTGGTACTAGTTTTGCTATTCAAAGATTGAAAAAATCGGGGATATTTTGTATTAGTCCTCCAAGGTAAATAATAATATTTTAATTAACGATTCTTAGAGTGATGGCTAAATATCGAAATTTTGATTTTTAGAGTTAATATGGGAGGAAAATTAAATGTAATGTGTTTTGACAAAACTGGTACTCTCACGGAAGATGGATTGGATGTGTTGGGAATCAGATATGTAGATTATAGCAGCAACAGGTACATTATATTTTAATAAATATATTTATAATATGTAAACTAGCAAGTAACTTTTAATTCGAATATTTTAGATTCTCGGAGTTATATACAAACATTGAAACCCTTTGTCCAAAAAGTGATAATGATTCTTTGGTTAACATGAAAAACGTTTTTCCAAATTCAAAAATCGAACCGATTTTGTTTGCTATGACAACATGCCATTCTCTTAAATTGGTGAATAACGAATTGATTGGTGATCCACTTGATTTAAAGATGTTTCAGTTTACTAAATGGATATTGGAGGAAAGTGGGCAAGGAAGTTCAACTGCCAATTCATTGGGAGTTACAAATGGTTCATCTCCAAATAGTCCAATAACTGGTGGTATAGTGCCAACTGTTGTAAGACCTCCTGGTGGCAGACAATTCGATTTAACTGACATTTTAGGTAATGAAGAGCGTAATAGTGAATCAAAGGTAAATGGTGTGATTATATTTTTTCTAAATATTTTTTTATTAAATTTTAAATAAATTAATATTTTAAATTTAAATTTAATCATTAGGCAAATCAACTTTTTGAATTGGGGATTATTCGTACTTTTGAATTTGTTTCATCATTGCGCCGTATGAGTGTACTTGTTAAACGACTTAGAAGTAGTACTATAGAAGTTTATGTCAAAGGTGCACCTGAAGTAATGAGAGAAATTTGTGTTCCGGATTCATGTTTGTACATCATAATTAGCGATAAAATTTAATTCTGTTGTAACAAAATTTTAATATTGATTGTTTAATTATTTTAAAGTTCCTACAGATTACAATGAATTATTAAATTACTATACACATCATGGATTTCGTGTCATAGCGTGTGCATATAAAAGCTTTACTGATTTGAGTTGGATGAAAGCACAAAAGATTAAAAGGTTTGTTCGTATTGTCAAATTTTTGTGTTGATATACTTGTTAGAATTTTGCTTGATTGTGTTTTTTAAATACCAAAGAGAACAGGTTGAACAAGGCCTGCAATTTCTTGGGTTAATTATATTTGAAAATAAATTAAAGCCTGGTACAGCCCCTGTAATCAATACTCTTAAAAAAGCAAATATGCGACAAATTATGTGTACAGGTAATTTATTTATAAATTGTCCAAAAAACTTTTATATAATAAAACCCTAATTTTCTTCCATCATTTTAGGTGACAATGTATTGACTGCAATTAGTGTATCTCGTGAATGTGGCTTAATTAATCCGGATGGAAAGATATATGTTCCGCGATTTTCCCAAGGTACTTCATCAGATCCTCAAACAACAATCATTTGGGAAAGTTTGAAAGATGTGAATGATCTTTTGGACTCGGATACTTTGAAGGTATTGGTCATTTTATAATATATAATATATAATTTTTATTTAATTTTTATTTATTTCCTTATTAATATTACTATTTTTATGACTCAATTTAAGCCTTGTTTATCAAACAATAATTTAAACGCACCTCCTGTAGGTCTTTGTGATTATACCCTTGCAGTTACAGGAGATGTTTTTCGATGGATAGTTGACAACTGTGATGAACTTATATTATATAGAGTAATTATTTGTTTTTTGTAATTAATTTAAATTGACTCCTGATTTTAACACTTAATTACTTATAAATTAATAGATGCTTGTTAAGGGGCATGTATTTGCTCGAATGTCACCAGATGAAAAACACGAACTAGTAGAAAAACTGCAAGAAATGGGATATTCTGTTGGATTTTGTGGTGATGGAGCAAATGACATTGGTGCACTTAAAGGTGCAGATGTTGGAATATCATTGTCAGAGGCAGAAGCATCTGTTGCTGCTCCTTTCACAAGTCGTAAAATGGAAATTGATTGTGTTATAGAGGTTATAAAGTAAGTCATTATTTTATGAACTGATTTTTTAATTAGCGATCAAATAAAAATTTTCTATTAATTTGATATATTTATGTTTTATCAGAGAGGGTCGTGCAGCTCTTGTTACTAGTTTTAGTTGTTTCAAGTTCATGACTTTATATAGTATTATTCAATTCACTACAGTTAGTATACTCTATTCTTTTGGTTCCAATTTGGCGGATCTTCAGGTTATTTAATTATTTTGATATTTTTTAAAGTGATATTTAATTGATAGATCAATTTTCTAAATATTTTTGTTTTTAACCACATAGTTTTTATATATCGATTTATTCCTAACTTTACCGATAGCTATATTAAGTAAGAATTCATCAAACCAAATTAAATTTTTATAATTTGATTGAATCTAATATAAATAAAATTTCTAATAGTGGGACAAACGGGACCTTATCATAATATACATCCTAAACGTCCAACTGCAAACTTGGTATCCAAAAGTGTCCTTACTCCACTTTTAGGTCAAATTTTTATTCAATCTGGATTTCAATTCTTTGTATTTTTACTTGTAAGAAGACAGCCGTGGTGAGCAATCATAACTTTATAGTATAACGATTGATTTTATAATTATCGATCTTATGATTTTAATGTAATAAAAATATTCATTTTTGGCGATTAAAAGGTATAGACCACCTAAATACGATCCAGATGACGAAAAAATTAAATGTTACGAAAGTACTGTCTTATTTTTAATATCGTGCTTTCAATACATACTAATGGCAATAGTATTTAGCGTTGGGCCTCCATATAGAAAACCTATAACGAGTAATGGTAAGTTATCTATAACCAACATTTCCCTATTATTATTTTTTTTGATAAAAAGTTTATTTAACGTTATTTTTATTTATTATTTTAATAAGTTCCGTTTATCATTACAATCACATTCCTTACGATTTTATCAATGATTATACTTTTATTTCCTGCTGATTTTGTGAAACGACTTCTTGAACTTGAGACAATCCATTCAAATTTTCAATTCTACTTATTATTTATTGTATTTTTAAATTTTAATGTCTCATGGTTTGCTGAAAAATATTTTTTTAGACATTTGACACAATTTATTGGTATTTTTATTAGTAAGGACAAAGAAAATGATAAGAAATTATATAAAAAAATATTATAGCAACTTTAAAACCAATAATGAACTTTTTAATATTTAAAAATCTTATTAATTGAATTCGAAAGATTGATTCTTGATATTTAGCAATTGAATCAGAAATTCAAATATTATATTTATAAATATCGTATTGAAACTGCATACAATTTCTCTCTTTTTCCAATCAAGGGTTGTAAAACATCTTGTGTAAAATTGGTTTATATGCTTAATTTTGCTGTTATTGGCTAACGGGGTTTTTAAAGGAATGTCCCAAATGGATTTAACGAAAGAATGTGACGAATTTAATTTAGTGCAACGTATTTAACTTTAAAAAAAGGAGATTATTATTATCAATGTTCATTTTTATAAAAATATAATAATTATTGTAAAATTTTAAAAAATTCTATATAATTTTAACAAATAATGCGTTTTTTTTTCTTGTCTGATGTCATTCTCTCCATATCGTCTTCGAGATTATTTATTAATGATTTTAATATTAATTTGAAGTTTTTTTTTAAATGTATAAACATGTTTATATATCAATGTCATACTTCCATATCGTCTTTAAAAATTATTAATGATTTTAATAGTAATTTGAAGATTTATTTTTATTTTAAAGAAATTGTTGGAGGAACAAAGAATGTTTTTGATTGATCTAATTTTGTATAAAATTTAAAGGATAATTTTGTTTAAAAACGAATATATTAATATATATATAATTAGTATAATAATAATACGAATTAATATTAATAATATCTAATATAGATTCAACAAAATTGACACTGACAATATGTAATTTTGAACAAATTGATGGTAAGGACCATTTAAAAAAACAAGAAAAAACAATTGTCTTTTAAGAGAAAAAACGTGTGAAAGATGGTGAATGATAAAGATAAGATGATAACAATGATGGTGACGATAGTGATAATGATGATGATGGTGATGATAATGATCAAGAAAAAAATCACAAGCTAGAGGAAACAAATAGCGAGTTAGAAAAAACCTGTGGGAAATAGACAAGAATTGGGAAATAAAGAATTGGTGAAAGAAATAAAGTGTTGGAAGAAAAACATGAGTTGGAGAATAAAATGAATTAAAGCCTAAGCAATTATATGAGGGATTTTAATGTGAACTCGATGCAATCAACATAAATAATGACCGACTTTTCGAGTTTTACATGTGTATTATGTTTTTTTGTAATCATTAGAATTTTTTTTACATTAGTTTTTTATAATTATTATGTTTTTGATTATTCAGAAGAAGGGTTTATAATAATTGTACAATTAAAAGTGAAATTTGGCTCGAGAGATTCTATTATTTCAAATAAACATTGGAACATGAATTTTTTCCATTTTTAAATATATGTGTACCAATAATTATTAATTAAACTCAATTAAAACTTTGAATATATTTGTAAAACTAAAGGTAATATACATATATATAAGAATGGTTGATGTTTTTATGCAAGATATTTCTTTATTTGTATTTCTTTGGCCAAGATTGACAAGGTTTTTTATAACAAACTGAACACAGATTTTCCATCCAAACTTAACTTAACAATTAAATAATGCCACACAGATTAAAAAGAGAAGATCATAGTACTGGTGTTGCTAGAGAGTAAGTGTTTTAAGAATGTTACTCTAGTTCATTTAAGCATAGTAGTAGGGCCTTTAGAAGTTGATATCATTTCACTATAAAGAGAAGTTTCAAACCCTCTTCATCATCACCAATTGCCATTATTATTATATATTTTTTTCATTATATCAAATTTGGCTGAATGTCATCATTTCTTTTATAAAAAAAGATCAGGGATCACTACTGAATACAGCACCATACAAGGGTCTCTACAAACTCCTAACAAGGAGTTCAAATCGTTTAAAAGTATAATTAAATACTTAATAGTTAACGATCATGTAGCACTTCCATACAAAGTAATTTCTCACTAAGTAGAGGGAATGTCAATGGATTCCGATTGACTGCTAACCCAATTCATGGCTTAGTTAGTCAGTAGTGCATATTAACGCCCCCTTCCTTCCATCTGTCTGTTCATTCCCATCCTTTTTTTTTAAAAAAAAACATAATATTAGATAAATAGTATCAACAAAAATAATAAAATATAAAATATAAGTACTGTGATTATTGACTTGTTTGGCTTTGTTCCTGGTGGCTGGTGGAAGTCCCATGATACCTTGATTTTTTAAAAACAATCATTATAATAATAATCAGATGAATATACAGTACATAATGATAAATAGCATCAACAAAAATAATAGTATAAAATATAAAAAACATACTTGATAAAAATCAATAAAATTAATTATTATTGGGACGTTTTTGTTAGATGGGAAGAAAAAATGTTTGTTGGTAATACAAGATCAAAAATTAAACAACAATAATAAAAGCAAAGTCGCACGAGTTATCATTGGATTACATAGTGTCCAAAATTGCCAAAATTGCCACATATCACATTGGGGGGTCCAATATCATATGTGTTACTGGGGTGTGTGACATTCTAAGAAAATCAAAACTAATTAATGTCATATATTGATTGGTATATGTAAATTTTTTTTAATGATCTGCATACCACTTATATAATTTCCGAAATTTGCAAGAAACATAATAAAATGTGCAGTTTTCAAATTGTTATTTCTTCCCCAATTTCAACGATATAGGTATCAAACATGTATGAAAAGATAGTAAATAAATACTATTTTAATAACTCAGAGAGCTATTTGCATTTTAAAAGGTTCAATATTGTAAAATATCCATTCGAAATCTCCTTTATTGCAGTACCTTTTGCTCTATTACAACTTTTAAAAAAAATATAGAAAATTAAAATATTCTCTCTGTATGAGTATTCTACAGATGGTTTTCAATCGAAACAATTTAATTTTTTTGCAGGCGGACAAGTTTTGCACAAGAAATAAGAGCTTAAAGTTTTCGAAATTTGCAAGAAATGTGTAATTTTTATATATAGTATCAAAATTCATAAATAAAAAACTTTTGTCACACAGAAAAAAAGGGGGTTACCATAAAAAATCCGCACATATAGATTTATCTTATTATTATCGGCATTAATTAACAACCAATATCGAATACCCCATCAATGGGTACAATAACACGTGATCGCATATAGAGTAGCGACATATACCCCACCCAACCACCCAAGGGCAGCAATTTCAGAACCAAATAAACATGCTAAAGAATATTCAGATTTTTAAGAGCAATTTAAAATCGGTAACTTATTTGCAAATTGCAATTGGGAAGAAATACATTAAGTTATCCAATTTGTACATGTGCATAATAACCAAACTGTCTACATTTTTCACATTTACGACCTTTTACATTTGGATATGAATGTTTGGCTTTTGACAGTCTTGTTCAACATTTGATTTAAGTCGTTTGAGTGGTCTGATCATTAGGTATATTGTTCAAAAAATGCATTGCGTAATTATATGTTGGAAAGAAATGCTTTCAAAATAATAGTCAATTCATTGTACATGTTACTTTCTTTGATAATCCAAACAATTCTGTTTATGCTGTCATGGTTCTTTTGGTATTTACAGAAGAATCATTTATAATCAAACAAAATGAATATGTTGTTGTTTATCACTGTCATTTGGTTCAGGAGAAAGACACATTTGAACAGCTGATTCAATTCTAAATTTTATTGATCCATCTAAGGTCTTCATCCTTGCCATAGACATTCTATTTTTTTTGAGAATGAACAGTGTGACATTTCACCCGATATTGTACATTCATATGTTAGCCTTGTAAAAACTTTCGCCTGTTCCCATGGAACAAAAGTGGACCATCTAAAATTAAATGAGTGCAAGTATTCTGATATATTAAAGGTGACAAAAATGTGGTTGGCGGAAAGGGACATTTCAATTAAAGAAGTTAATAATACAACTAAAACATTGGTTGGTAAAAACCAATAACAACCACATTAATAATGCTCCTACTCTTAATGTATTTTGACACAAAAGAACAGTTTAAATGATGTGAACAACATTAACAACAATAGTGGATCAACTAGTAATTTAAATACAACAGCATTGTAATTGATGTTAACATCAAAGTTGAAAAAATATACATTATCAAATAGCACCACAAAATCTAAAGAAAGAAGATAGAAAGTTTTATCAATACAATGTATATATTTACATTTCAATAAACATGAACATGGTCTAATTGGTCTAATACTAGTTTACTTCTTTAAAAAATGTCACCAAACGAAGAAAAAATCAGAATGATTCTGGCGTGTCAGGGTAAGTGTTTTAAGGATGGTGGTGGTGGTTATCGCCATTTGACGTCACTCTAGTTTATATAATAAAGATTGGTGGTTATTGCGATCGTTGCCATGCGTCATCACTCTAATTCAAACATTCGAACTTAAACTTGTCATTTTACTAATTAAAACTTCAACTTTTTTTGTATCAGATCATCATCATCATCATCACATCTTCTGTTGGATAATTTAACATCTCTTACAGATATAATTAGCAATATACAACAGGAAAAAATAAAAAAAATATTCAATGATAATAAAGAGATGGTAAACACAATAAGCTCTTTGTTGGAGAATTTCTTATCTGTTCTTATAGATGAAGAGGCAAGCTTTTAATGAACTTTTTATTGATTAGTTGGTTCATATTCATTTTAGAAATTAATCTTTGTATTATTGCATTCTTGTTACAGAATAACAACAACAATAATGTTAATCTCGAAGTAAATCTACCTTTATTTTGATTATCCTTTTTTTTTCTTAATGAAAACTAAAATTTAAATTGCATTACAGGTTGGTAATAATGATTATAATGATTATGGCGATGATGTAAGTATTTTAAAGTTCCTTTTACTTTCTGTTTTAATTTTAGAAATCTGTTTTGTGAAATAATTAACCGGAAGATTATATTATATATTGAACTATATCTTTATAACATTTTGTGTTATAATATATATATACTTATTTATAAATATTACTTTCATACATTCATACACATATTTCAAATATGTAGGATATACCTACAGATATCTTTCTTCCAACAACAACCATTACCACAACAACAGATGTCCTTCTTCCAACAACATCTGGTGGTGATATTACTTTAAATAATAGATATGATCTTCGGTCGAGGAAACATATAAATTATGACACTGGACCAGTTCCAAAAAAACGTCGGTGCACCAGGAAGTGCCCAGTTCATTGTCATTAACATAATTTTGGAATGGATAAAAATACAACTGAAAGTTTTATACTTAATATAAGTAATAGAAATGATATAAACACTGCAAAATTTAGTTATGTATTGGTTTCCGTACCAATTCAGTATTGATTAGTACTTTGAAGTGTCCAATTCCGTACTTTTTATAATTCAGTACCTTTTAGACAATTTTTTTTTATAGGGAAAGAACGGGAAATAGTACAAAAAACCGTGTAAAAAATCATTTAATCATGTGGTATTTATTAATTTAATAAATATTATTAATTACAGATTATGTTTATTTATAAGTTAACTATAATTAATTAATTAAATTTTCATAATTTTTAAAAAAAAAATAATAATATATCTTATTAAGAATTCGCCCATTCCAAAGCTTCTTCTATAGATAAATGAAAGAATTTTTTAGAGGAACTAGTGGCTTCAACATTAACCTCCTTAACACTATTGCTGCCGTTTCCTTTTTCAACATCAATTTCTGCTTCATTCTTCTTCTCTTCTATTTCTACTTCCTCTGCACTCAAATCCTTTGGTTCAAATTTACCAAATCCTCCAACAATCAAACTATTTTGTACATTTTCATTCATGACATTAGCAAAATGGAATTCAACTGAACGTTGACTATACCTATCCAATTCTTTTCTAAGATCAATTAGCATTTCTGTGACAGTTGAATCCATCACGCTCACGATCGAAAAGTCAAATATTACAGCCTTAAGTCTTGGTTTTTTTAAATTTACCGGATCATTGAATGGATCTGTATCTTTTGAATCGTTCCAAGGTCGATCACCTTTATTCTTATGAGCTTTATAATATTTACGTGTCTTGTCCTTTGCATATTCTATTATTTTATCATCCATATATGAAGAATTAAAATGGTATAACGGTTTATCAAACCGAAATATTAGAATTCCATCAGGTGGATTCTCGACAGTTTTAAATGATGAGTGTCCTAATGGAACGTAAGTGTAATGTATTTTTTCGGTTCCTTTAATGAAATTGGATACTTTAAGTATACCCAACTTATCCAATCTTGGAAAGACCAATTGAAATATTATTACTACGAATGTTAAGAGTGTCGAAGCATAAATTCCAATCTATTGAGATAAATTAAATTGTGTTAATTGCATATATTCTTATGGAGAAAATATTTACTAACAAAAAACTTACTTCGATGGTACTAAAGAAAATACCCACTACGGCGGTAAAGAATATAGCAAAATCCCAAACTATAAATAATAAATTATTAGTAAACTATCTATAATTTATATTGAATCTGACAAAAATCATCACAATTGTAGTTAGTTACATTGAATTTTCCATAATTGTTTTACATAAGAAAGTTCCGATACTAAACCGAGAACAGCATGAATAATTATCGCCCTATTATTTTTAAAAGTGATAAAGTTGTGTAAACAAGCAAACTAAAAAAGAAAAAAAGGCACGCAGAAAACTTACGATAAAGTAGTATCAGGAATATAAAAGAAGGCGGGTGTCAAAAAAAATAAAGCTGAAATTATTATAATTGCAGTAAATACACCAGCTAAAGGAGTTCTTACACCAGATCTCGCCTTAACAGCAGTACGTGAAAATGAACCGGTTGCTGGATATCCGCCAAAAAATGATCCAAGTGTATTTGTTACTCCTATGGCAACTAATTCTTGACTTGGGTCAACTGTAATAAAATGATAATAATTGTTGTGTTAATAAATGGAAACAAATTATATGAATGGGATTTTATCGATTGCATACTTTTGTAATCATTAATTCTACCAAAACATTTTGTCAAAGCAACATGTTCTAAAACAGATACCAAAGTAATAGTAGGAAGATAACCGCCTATATATCCAAGTAACTCGCTATTGACATTTGGAAATCCAAGGTGAGAAAAACCCGAAGGAACAGATCCTAATATCGAATAAGGTACTTTTTGGAATTTTGAAAGTATAAAGGTGAATAAAGTACATATTATAAATATCGAGATGATTCTGAAAACTCCAATAAAGAAAAATGTCCGTTCATGTTTTGGGTATTTTTTTGATAGAAATTGTGTTCCATATTTGAATGCATAAAGGTAAATCAACGAGAATATTCCTAATGCCGCATCCACTTTGGTACGTGGTAATCCTTTCAAAGTTTCAACTAGAATCACATATCCTGGATCTGAAGTATTTACTCCTGTTATTCCCATTAATTTTGCTATCTATAATTAAGAGAGACGAAAAACATGTTTAAAAAGATAAATAAATAAATCTTAAATCATCAAATATTCAAAGTTATCTTTACCTGCCCAAGAGCAATGGTTATAACAGATCCTGTGGTAAACCCCGTGATAACGGGTGTAGGTATAAGATGCACAACAAATCCAAACCGGAATAAACCAAGTATAAGGATGATTATTCCAGAAAGTAAACCAAAACCTGTTGCCAATTCAACTGCAAAGTCAACACCGGTTCTCCCACTAGATTCCATTATTTTTGCTGTCGCTTGTCCAATCAATAATGACATTACTGCGGTTGGACCAATTGTTACATCTCTTGATGTAGCGAACAGACAATATATTGTTACCCCAACGAACGCTGAATACAAGCCATATTCAGGTGGCAAGTTTGCAAGTTTGGTAGCTACGGCCATTGTTTGCGGTATAGCTATCGCTCCAACAGTAATTCCTGCTACCACATCACCAAGAAACCAAGTTAAATTATATCTGCCTATCCATGTAACAATAGGAAATAACGATCTAATATACGAAGCAGTAAATTTTGGCACTTCATGGACAACTTCATTAGTTTTCTCTTTCAAAGTTGGACGCTTTAAATCTTCATAAGGATATTTAGGATTGGAAACCACTTTATCGTCCATGATTTATTTAAATGTACAAGTGATTAAAAGATAAAAAGGAAGACATTCTCGCAATCATTTATAATAATTTTTTTATTTATTTATTTATTATGTTGGTTAATTTTTGTGATTTTATTCTCATATGACACAAAAATCGCGCAATTTTGTAATTATTAAAAATTATTCCAATATCTCAAAAATTTCCGGTTTTTTGTCGTACACTGTTTAATTAAAACTAAATTTCTTCCTTTTTTTACCAGTAATTTTAAAAAGATAAAGGGATGAAAAAGTATACATATCTTGCCATAATTCCGTTTTTAGATGAACCAATTAAATTATAAACGTTCAAGTATATAGGTATTTTTTCTTCATTACTCAAAAATTACTTTTTTTACACAGAAATTGTCTATTATTTACGCTGTTTTTCGTAATGTTAATTTTAAGGAGTGTAACACATGACCAATTATAGAATAATTGTAAAGAGTTAATTGTGTAAAATGCATAAAATTCTCAATATAGACGTTAATTAACATCCACTCGTCATGTATTTCCAATTAAAGCAGTTTGATAGATTGACATACTCCAAGTTATGGCAAATCGGGCAATTGCACACAGAGATCGACCAGCTATTTCTTGGCTATAGTAGACATTGAGATACTCAAGTATGAATTAGGAATCGCGATTAGTGCTGTATTATCGATTTTTTCATTTGATATTTCAAGGTCAACCAACGTACTCTGGAATCGATTTTGAGTTAGTATCACCCTTATATGTGGCGTACTGCAGTGACATTGTACTACAAAAAATTGTCGATACAGTCGACCAATTTATGTGGCAAACGAGTTGTGATACTTTGCTGTCTTTTTAAATTCTTTACTTTTAAAAATACAATCAAGATTAAAACTTGCTTTTTACAATAATTTTGTTCAAAATAAAATTCTACATAAATTTAAAGAAATTTAAGTACCAGGAGTTTAATTTGTTTTTTGTTTTTTTCTTTTTGGATAAAACACATAAAACGTCAAGACCAAATTGCACAGCTTATTTGCTGCACTTGCTGAGAAATATTCAGTGTGTCATTTGAGATAAGTATGTTAAAATGCAATAGGAAATAAGATAAAAAAAATGTATATATACACATATAAGATTCGGCATATCCAAAAAAAACTTACGAATATATTTTATTTAATAACAAGATTCCTGATGAATGAATGACAAGGTGATAAATTCAAACTATGGTAATGATCTGAAGCTATTATCATTTTTTGATAGGCTTGTAAAACAGTTAAAAATAAACATAATACATAATTTTGGACGTTGCATGAAAGCATTATCTAATTATTTTCAAAGAAAAAAGGCCTGCATAAAATTTAGCCCATCCCATTTTAAAATTCCATATTTGATAATAATCCTAACCGTAAGTATAAAATCATTAAGTTCGGTTACACATTACATCATACGGTAAAAAAAAAATCACGACCACGATTTTAAGGTTTGAGCAAGTAAAAATTACAAAACTTTACACTCTGTGATTAAAGCTACTGAAAAATGGACTTTTGATAATAATAAATTTTGTTAACAAGATGTTACTGAAAGGTAATGTGAAGTTCAACATATGTTGCGAAGTCTATATAAGTAAAGTTACGAGTTCTTGTCCTCTACTATATGTTTTTGTTAAACAATATGAACAGTCCTCAAGTTAACCTTAATAACTATCGAATAATTAAAAAAACTAGAATTTTACAAGAAGACAAAGCTGTCATTTCTATATTATATATATATATATGGAAATGAGAACTCACAAACAATTCACATTTGCAGGTTTTAGATAAGCATTCTCAATACGAAGTATGCAAATGCTGGATGTTATTATATTAAATTGAACCAGAAAAAACTCGGATGTTCAATATAAAGATATTAGAACGGTTATGATTATTTATTTATCCAAATTATAGTGTGAAGAATCTGAAGCCTCAAACCATACTAGATATTTAAGTGAAGCTAAGTATAAAATAAGAGAAGTAATTGTTTTATTGTTCAATGATTTATCAACGTCATAGAAGATGTCCTTTTGCTATTGGATAAATTAGTTGTACGATCAGCTGGTCAAACTTTTACTTGTACAGGTCACCCCCGTTATAAGAACACTTCTGGGACAAGCAAAAACGAGATGTTTTTATAACGGGCGGGGAATTCATATAAAATCATGTGATTCATAAAAAGGCTATATAAAATAGAACATAGTCTTTTTATTATTATTATCTTTAGACAATTAATTGGTGAAAAAGTAAAAACTTATTTTATTTTAAAAACAAAATTGTTTTAAAATATTTATTGAGTTTTGCTGGGAAAAGGTCCTGTATAATCAATTTGCATAAACTTGTTTGTATTTTTGTTATCATTATCACAACCAAAAAACAATTTGTAAGATTAATTAATTATTGTTAATTTTAGTGTAATATGATATCAGAATGTTTTGATTGATTCTCTCGTTATACCGATACATCCCCCATAATAATATAACGGTAATTATATAAAATTTTCTTGCCAAATTATGTATGTTCTTATACTCGTAGAATGGGATATGTAATTATAACAGTCAGTGTGCAAATCCTTTCTCTTTTTTTTAATTAGCGTGTAACATTTGCTTGAACACCAGAAGTTCCTTTTAACACTTATAACACATAAACTTCTTGTAGAAATGATAATGTAAAATATTGGTAGTACACATGTAAACTCGATAAGTCGGTCACGCTGGGGTGAGCTCATATGACCGACTTATCGAATTTTATATCAAAACTGATCTACATAAAATATCCAATCAGATTTTTTATTTAATAATTAAAATA